GTAGGTTAATAATGGGGATAATTAGGGTTACTAACTGGGTTAGAGGGGTTATTAACCTACTTACTAAGTCCCCTTCACCCTCCAAATAGGGTGTAGAGTTTAGGGTTAACCCTAAACCCTAAACCCTAAACCCTAAACCGCTAAGGCTCAGGGCTTAGGGCTTAGGGCTTGGGGTTAAGAGTTTAGGGCTCTTCTGTGCAGATCAGACCCACAAATTTTCGTACACCCCCCCAAGAGGTCCCGTGTCCTAAACTCTAACCCCTAAACAGTCTTAGATAACCCCTATGCCTATAACCACTATATAGACGCCAGTTTCCATGGTATTTTCTATCTACTTTTCCATTCGATTCTCCAGAAGTGGCGGATAATATCCCTAAACCATAGAATCCTAAACCCTACATAGTAGTTTCCATGTTCTTTTTCATTATCTTTACACAATCCTTATACTGGTTTTGACTACAACTTCAAGCGTTGCGCAAAGGAGCACCAGGCCTGTGCTGTGGACCCAGCACAGCTCGAGCAGCAGGCGAGCGTACGTCGATTGGGTTAAGGATCCAGGGTTAGTTCAGATGGCACTTTCCCACAATATGGGCACCCTATCATAGACCCGAATAGACCGAAACAAATGAACCCCTAAAAATTCCCCTAACTTGAGAAAGTCCCATATATTGTGTGGGCTTCCAAAATGGGGGTCCCATTGTTGGAGTCCCTATGGTGAGGATACAACAATTTCAGGTCATGTTACGGAGGCCCCGGTTTCTTGAAATTCCAACTTCATTGTGACGGTCATGCTTGTCACTTGTTCTGATGGCTATTGGTGCGCGTGCTATTATTGGCCGCGATAGGCAGAGGACTTCTCACGATTTAGGGTTTGGGCACTGTAGGCTTGACACCCTTGAAAGTTTCAGATCCACCCGCCTATACCCCTCACCCTCAGATATTCCCCAATGGTGATATGTTCTTCTTATTGTTAGGGAGATGGGGGGGGCCTGTTTTTTAGGGGGAAGGCATTGCTCCTTGTGGCTTTGCTACCCGCTAACTACATGGAATCCATGGTTAGGCCGCCAAGGAAACCCTAACGAACTTTAACGATTGGAGTCAACGTGTAAACAAATACTGTAAAGCTTATGCACCCCATGCCCGACCCTTAGTATCCGCGCGCATGAACACCCAACCCTAAACCCTCAAAACCCTAAACCCCCCAAACCCTAAACACTCCATCTGAAAGAAATTGCAGAACCACTCCATGTGGGCTGTAGTCTAAACTCCTTAAAGGGAGTTATGTAGGGGTTTAGGGATTAGAGTTTAGGGATGAGGGTTTAGGGTTGAGGGATGAGGGTTTAGGGTCTAATCTCCTTAAAGGGGGGTATATAGGGTATTATATAGGGGACTATTATAGGGTTATCAATGGGAAAATTAGGAGTTCAGACTATAGCTCATGTGAGCGACAGTACAGTTAGTTGCCCAGGGGAATAGATTTGGGCGTAGAGGGTCGAACAGTAAGGCATGGAACCCTTTTGCCTCAAGCTTGGGATGGTATCATTTCCCTATAGACCCTTATATCATCCCTACAGCATGCATGCCTTTATAGCACCCATACGTCCCAGCAGAACTCCTAAACCCTAAAACCCTAAGCCCCTAAAACCCTAAACCCCTAAACCCTAATCCCTAAACCTCTAAACCCTAAACCTTAAACCCTAAACCCTAACCCGCAAACCCCAAAACCCTTAAATCCCTAAATCCTAACCCGTCTCTATGAGTCCAGGCTCAAGCCGCAGAAACGGGCCTCCAGGCTGGCCTAAGGGCAGTTTACGCGATTTTGGGTTTTAGGGCAAGTTTAGGGTTGAAGTGTTTAGGGTTTAAGGTTTGGGGTTTAGGGGTTTAGGGGTTTGAGGGTTTAGGGGTTTAGGGTTTAGGGGCTTCCCCCTATTTATGAGAATTCCCATTTAGGGTTCAGAGTCTACGCCGTCAAAGACCGGGGTTCAGGTCTACATGTGCAGCCTTTGGTTTTTGAGGTTTTGTGCTACTGGTTCGGTTTGGGCGTTGCGCCGTTGGGTTCCATCCGGCGTGTAGCTACGGCTCTGTGGGCTGTTAGCCTGTTAGGGGTCGCTAAAAGTTCGGGTATCCCTTTTGACGTCTTCATCCCTGGGTGAGTCGATGCTTCGGTGGTTGCTTTTGTCGTTTTCAGTTTTCAGGGATTTTCCTAGGAACGGGTGCCACGCGTAACGACGTAGCATCTGCGGTGCCCTTGCAGCCCAGGCCTCCACATACGCCATAGTCAAGATTTGAAGTAAACCCCACCCCTGAACTGCATTGAACTCCCTATCGCCTCCCAAGAACCCTAACGCCCCAAGAAGGCAAATCGTTCTTCGAAAGCAGTTGGAAGCGGGCCAATCCAGACAACGACCACGTGAGCTAAAGTCTAAACTCCTTAAAGCAGGTTATATTGGCTACAGTCTAAACTCCTTAAAGGGGGGTTATATAGGGGATTATATAGGGGACTACTATAGGGGTTATTATGGGGGATACTAGGAGTTTAGACCATGGCTCATATGGGGATTGTATAGGGGACTAGAAAAACAACTTCTAACATCCAGCCGCTTTGCAACTCGGGATTTGAGGTCCCAGCTGATGGTGACATCCCAGAATTGGGGGTAGGTACTTTTTTGGCGGTCCCCATAATAAGGATTGTAGTATATTGAGGTCTACATTGGGGTACCCCTATTTTGGGAAACTTCTGCATCTCCTAACAAGCTGCATGCGATTGCCAGTAAGGAATGCTTCTTTTCTGCCCTAAATCCTAAACCCCTAAACCTTAAACCCTAAACTTTGAGGCTGCATGGTTCTTCAGGGGGAGAGGGAGGGGTAATATAGGCATTACAGCAGGGTTATGCATGTGAATCATAAACGGGCTCCACCCTCGCACCCCCTGAAGAGTCATACTGCAAGCACCTCAACATGACGGGGCGCTGCCAGGTGGCTTACCAAAATCCTCTGTGGGGAGAGGGGTACCACCTACGAGCCAAGTGCTACAACGCCATGAAGGCGCTCACGAGACCGCTGCATTTTGCCCAAACGCCAACTACTTCCCTCCAACCCTAATCCCTGGACTGATACTGCTAAAGCCTACAATTCTGATCACCCTACGTGTTGCTCACCCCTCCTCCGCAGCCACTGGGGCTACCAAACCCTACACTTGAGATTCCCCAGAGGACAGCTGAGCAGTTCACTCACAACAGCTTCCTGAACTCTCCCTGTATCCCCCCCATATATATATATAAACATATATCAGTACAAACTTCAAAAGGCCCAGAAACCACAAAAAAGCAGGGCATGAATGATCAGAAGACACCCTACCAGCATTTGACGCTAGTGATGTTAAGTTTGTTATTGCCACAAGTACTCTCCCCATTGTTATTGTTATTGGCGCATGGAAGCTGCAGGACGTGACAAACACCATCGCAGACCTCCGGCGCGCCCTCGAGTGGCTTGGACTCAAAAGAGTAGTATTTTATTTGGGGATACTATGGTGCCCAATATAGAGTAAGATTATATCCTCCTTTTGGGGTGTAGCATTTTATATAAGGAATATTATCTTACTAGGTTCAACCACCAAAAAAACACTACTCAAAAGGAGGTATGGGCCAATGAGCCCTCAGGTCTTTTTCCTGCGTCAGTGCTGGACATGTCTGGATCCGTTTTTAGTACCAAAGCACCACAAGGGTACTGCTGTGTATGATCTCAATAAGGAACAGGTTTTGTGGAGTACCTAGGATCTGACTGTTTTTTTCTTATCTGTACCTGTTTTGGAATTCTTTTGTTTGAGGATGTTCCATGTGCATACTGACATAGTTAGCAATCGCAGCATTATTTTGCGACTGTTTGTGTTATTTGGGTTCTTTTTTGCTGTTGTTGGGCTTCGACGATTGTAGTGACTTTGGTACTGCCCCCACCCATTCACAGCTGGATAATAGTTACAACACAAGTATATAGAGCCCTTAATATGACCCCTATTATAGCCTGTTAGTGGTGGGGGCAGTACCCAAACTGTAGTTGAAACGATAACCCTAAATCCTATACCCTAAACCTTAAACCCTAAATCCTATACCCTAAACCGTACACCCTAAACACTACGCCCTAAACTTCTCCAGATTTTTGGTCGTCGGCTTGGTTTCAGGGAGCACGTGGAGCTTTCTTCAGGGACATAGACCAATGTATGCCAATGTAATGTAGAGGTTTGAGCACTGGCCACTTTATGTTTTCCGCATAACCCTTACGTATATACGTATAACACACCCATGCACCGATGTTAACTACATATAGGCTCCTACATTATGCATTGCTTCTCCTTCTGGAGCAACCAGAAGTGGTTGTAGGGGGATTACAGGAGGATTGCTTGACACTTGACACTTGCCACTCATGCAGAAGAACCAATCTCCCGCCCTAACATTGAATTCCACCACCTGATATTAGATGTTCCCTTCAAAGGAAATGCTCAATGCTAGAGCGTGGGGAGTAAGAGGGAAGGGACTAGTGGGACCATCGCTTCAACATCGATGGGCATCTGTTTGTCTGGATCCTTGTGCAGTACGGTTACTGGGGAGTTTTAATCATCCCGTAGAATCCCTTACTAGTAGAATGCATCTGGGGACCCTCAGAATTGTGCAATCCACACACATCCCTATAGGGTCCCCACGTGTCACCGGTTTCAGAAGCTTCCACTCTTGATGAGGTTGCTTGCTGATTTGTCCAAGTCTTTTTGTGTGATGCTCGATGTCCTGTTTCCATCGTCGCAAGCCGTATCTTGAGCTGCACACCGATTCACGCAAGCGAGCTGTTATTAGCTGTTAAAGTGCTCCGAATTCTGGGCACTCACCTGTCGTCACCTTAAATGCTGGTTCAGAAAGAATGATGGTCCAACATTTGCCTTGTTTCACGCTCTGGCAGCAACATGGTTCAGCAGGTAAATTCTGAGCCCTAAGCCCGAAACCACAGCTGAGGTTCTGCCCCAACAACTACCTTGTCATGGTTGAGCTTGGCATCACGTTGATGGAGCGCGCTCTTGCTGTTCGGGCTACAGGTTTCATTGGCGGTTCACGGATTCACCTTGCAAGTACTGTAAACCCTAAGCCCTAAACCCTTAAACCCCTAAACCCCCTAAACCCTAAAGCCCTAAGCCCTGAACCCGTGAACCCCTAAACCCTAAACTCCTACACCCTAAACCCTAAACCCAGTGATAGCCGCATGTTTGAGTAGCTACAGCAACCTCTAAATTTGGCCTCCACGCGTGAGGTTTACCCTCATAGAGATTTTACCTAGCTCCACATAGCTTTTGTGGAGCGGTCGATGTACGTGGAGGCGACCCTACATCTGCGGTACAGGGCTTGTGCGCTATAGTATATTTGGGGGCTCACAGCAGATCCAATTTCGTGTTCCTGCTGCATGCTTCCTCCTCCTCACCAAGGGTCTAGGGTTTAGGTTTAGGGTAGCCCCTTGCTCAACGTGGGTCAGGGGACGAAGTCTTGTCTTGTGCAGTACCAACTCCTCAAACCTTCTGAACCCAGGAAGCCCTCCGAGAAACCCCCAAGACTACGCCTCCATAATCCTATAACTACTCTTACCCCTCTTAGAAACTCCCAAAGGACTTTGCTTCTAGAATCCTGGATTCCTTGCAAGTCACGGAGGACAAGACCCAGGAGTATGAGGAAGCCGCGGATCTGTTCAAGGCCACCTGCCCAAACTGTAGAATTTCCAAGTAAATTTGCCAAATGTCAAGCTGCGACTAAAAAAGACTAAAAAGAAAATACCGTTACTCATGGGCCACAAGGGATATTCCACTTTCTGATTCTGGGGGCTTCGCTGAGCTATTCGCCGTCACCGTCACGCAGTGCTCGGCTCCCATGACAAACATCATGCAGCCTTTTCGCCTCAGGCGACCGTTTCTGTGGGTTCCTGTTTATACTAAGGCGCCAAGACCCCTAACGGCAGGAAACAAGCTTACTGAATCGCAACCCTGTAATCTTGACTGCTGGAGGCCCTGCACCCTGACTCCCGACCACAAACTCAAAACGCGCGCTGGCCCAAGAACAGAAAGAATCTGAGCCCGGGTGATTGTATCATCATTCCGCACTTAGGGCTCACGCTAGGATGCAGGTCTCTCCGTCGCAAGCCTGGGACATGGGACAGGGATGCGGTGCCACTACAGAGGGAATCTGCCCTTCCATGGCCCGAAATGAGCCATAGTGTAGACTCCTTAAAGAGTTTTTTTTAGGGGACTCTATGGGGGAGTATTCTTGGGGTTTCCAGGAGGATGCTAGGAGTTTAGACAATGGCTCAAACGAAGACAACCATCGTTCTGGCAGAATGCCTGCTTCATTACCCTGGACTCAATCCACTATAGTCCCTTTCTAAACGGCCTTCTGGGGGCAACCCAAAATCAAACCCTAAACCCTAAACACTAAAACTACCCGAAACCCTAAATCCGTCTGCCAGCGCGCCATTGACCTCTGCCCCATCCTGCCCGTGGACGGCTTCCTCCAGCAACTCTACACCAAGGCTCCCCCACCCGCTCTTGTGGGCCGGGGTTGGGGGTTGTGGGTTTAGGGCTTAGGGATAATGGGAGAGGAGTGGTGTGGTGGGAGGTCAGGTTACCGACAGTTTACTGTTACCGAGATCCCCACCCTATCCATAAAGCGCTTCCTGCACGTGCTGTTTGGGTGGGCCGGGCTTTGCAAGCCTTTCTTCCAAGGGCACTGCTACCTGTACCTCACCTTGAGCCCTAAACCCTGAACCCTAAACCCCAAATAGTAGTTTCCATTTTATATTCCATTATCCCAATATAACCACAATATATACCCTATAATCCCTATATACCCCTCCTTGAGCCCTAAACCCTAAACCATAAACCCTGCACCAGTGTCCGCTTTCAGCACACCCTGCAGGGTCCGTGGGGCTCCTGAAAGTTGTGTGGCAGGTGCCACATTTAAAGGAGCAGTGGGAGGCGGAGAAGAAGGCCAACGAGTTCTCCCTCAATGCTGGGCCCTTAGGGTTTAGGGTTTAGGAGTTCTCCCTCAATGCTGGGCCCCTACCTAGGACCTAGGATCAGACTTTGGAGTTTACTCAGCTGCTTGAGTTACGATGATTAGGATGCCATTTTGTCTTTTTGATTCCATACTACGCTAAATTAGTTTAAGTTCCAAGAACCCAGTGTAGGTTTTTCAAGCATGCCAGCAGCTGATCTGAGCTTTCACGTGTTCCTGGGCGACTCCTGGATGTACAGTTTAGCAGGGACTCACTTGGGATATGCTTAGTTTGAAAGAAGGATGTTTGTCATAGTTGGTTGAATATGCAGCCTTAGCCTGGATTTGGTCAGGCATCGCCACACGAGAGTCCCTTCAGTTGTTTCATGGATTGAATGAAGCCCTGTGCATTGATGTCCGTCCCCAAGCCAAAACTCCTTGCTCTGTATCCTGAACTTCGCGAGTCTGGAACCCATAGACCCAGAACCCACTGTAGGTAGCTGCTACCCAGACCCCTCAGCCCGAATTTATGCCCTGTAATCCTGGAACCCTTGGATCCTAAGCTCCTAACCTGAGCCCCGAACCCTGGAACCGAAAATCCTAGAAGCCTTCAATTCAAACCTTCTCAGCCCTAAACTAAACATCTCCACGCCCTAAATCAGAAACTCTAAACCCTATAACCCCCTCATATAACCCTTCCTTATCATGCCGTGGGAGCCCTACATCTCTGCATATTCCTGCAGACACCTTCATATCCTGTAACCCTTTTAAAAGGGGACCCACCCCAACGAACCACAAACCTTATCAAACCTGCAAACCCTATCAGCAGTGTAAAGCCGCGAGGCCCCAAGAACCCCGCAATCACATAGAAACTTAATCAGTTGTGTGAGCCCCTGTAAGCCTTGGAAACCCTGATAGCCCTTTGGAAGGCCCATGATTAGGTTGATGTGAAGGCACTTTAGCTGCCACTATATGGAAATGTAGCTAGTACGATGGCTTCCCACAATCATGGCACCTCAACGCAAGTTTTTTTTTAGCACCCTACATGAAAGACTGATTTTCCATTTGATTCTCCACGATGGTAACCCTACACTCTAACCTCTAACCCCTAACCCCTAAACCCTAAACCCTTAACCCTAAACCCTAAACCCTAACCCCTAACCCCTAAACCCTAACCTAGGCTATTTAATCCAGATTTATGCTCCTGCTTGGGCCCCCCAAGGAACCACCGGCCCGACTCTTACCAGAGGCTGTGCCTGTTACCTTGTCCTAATGAGCCTAAGGGACCCTTTAAGGGAGCTATGGGGGATGTAGACTCTACATACAGTTGAAAGATACTTAGGTAGGGTTTAGGGATTTGGGTTTAGCGTTTATGGTTTGGATTCTCTCCGAAAAGCTGGCCCTCGGGGATTCCAGGGATACATGAGGGCTATAAGCCTACAAGGTAATATGAGGATCTCCACTACTGAGTTTATACGGGGTTATTTCAGGAGCTCCTTGGTGGGTTTCTCAAATCTGCAAGGTTTGTGGGATTCAGGGGTTCTGGAGTGAAGCATTTGGGGCAGGCTACAGCGCTTCCTAGGGTTCACGGAGGGGTTGAGGTTCAGGGGTTTCTAAAAAAAGCATGGGTTGCAAAGTTATAGCCTTATGGCATGGGCTTTTGCTAGGGAACAGGGTTCTGGCTGCAGGGCCTGGGCAGGGCTTAAAGTTTCTGGGTTTACCAAAACGGTTGTAGCGACTGCGGGATCTTGGGTGTTAATTCGCAAGGGCTCGCAGCTAATCCAAACCCCTCAACTCTGTTTGCCTGCAGGCTTGGGTGGATCGCTTTGAGGCCACAGAGCGCCCGAACCAAGCCTTTTTGAGGCGGAGCCCAAAACATTGGGGATCGTGGTGCAGGGTGGGAGTGTATCAAAACTACCCTTCTAGAATGCTTAGTAGGGATGCTTATCGTCCCTGATGACCCTACATATGCCTTGGGGTCCCTAGGGGCGCTCTTGAGAAATTCTCTGGTTAAGGGTTTTGGTGTAAGGGTGATTGTAGGAATATGCTGAGCCGCTGAGCTTCGAACCCTAACCTCAAGCATTTTGGAGTTTCAGGATTGCGGTTTAGGGTTTAGGTTTTAGGTGTTGAGACTTGTCCTGACAGTGCCGAGAATTTGTGATCCAAAGTCACATCTAGACCCTGGACCCGAAATATGGGGACCCCAAACTCCTACATCCTCCGTCAACCCCATATGCACTGAAAATTGGATTTGACTTCAAAAGGGGACCCTTAGACCTTGATTCTGGGCCTGTCAGCCCCAATTAGGAACCCGAACCTCAGAGAAAATATTGGTAACAGGGCTCAGCTGATGATCCCTACAATGATCCGAGCTGTAAGTCTGTAGCCTCTAGTAGAAGGTAGTTCCCCCAAAGCCGGATTATCCCAGAGTATCCTGCAACCCTTCGTGGCAGGGTTGGTGCAGAATTGGAGCAGTGGTTTGCGGAGGCCAGTGCCTTTGGATTTCATCCAGGCATATCTCCATTCAAATACCCAAAATGCTAACTTCATTCGCATTGTTATAGGGTTTTTAAGAGGGACACGTGGATTTTTGGAAGCACACTTTTCAGGTAGCTTGCAGCTGCAACATGTCGACGGGTACCTTCACAGACACAAGTTGGACAAGAAGGGCTCTAACGTGGCAGGAGCGACCAGCATCCACAGTTGGCTCAAAACAGGACAGCGTTGCCAAGCCTCGCACACTCTCTACGATTTGAAAGCATGGCCTGCCGGTTACTTCTGTCAATCTTTGTGGCGGCTGTAGCGCTGCCAGTCTCTGAGGCTGCTTGTGCTACTGCATGGGTCCAGTGCGGTGGCGCAGGATGGACCGGTCCCACATGCTGCGATGATGGCTTCAGCTGTTCGCAGATGAATTCCTGGTACTCACAGTGCGTGCCCAAGGGTTCTACAGCTCCACTGGAGAAGGATCCGCAGCCCGTAGCTGAAGATGAATGCTATCATGTGTTCAGCGAGCTCAGCTTCAACACGCTTGTCCAGTCGTTCCCCAACAATCCCGACAGCAAAGCCACTGCCTATGTGGACTGCAAGCTCTGCAGCCACGGCGGGATGCATTGTGCTGCCAATGTCCTTGGTGGCCGAACGCAGCTTGTTGCATCGCACATCCATGTGGCTTCTGATGGAGATGGCGTCAATGGTGCAGGCCCGCCAGTGATCAACTTCTGCGGGGACAACGGCCCCGGCATGATTCTGGATGGCAGCCCATACAAGACACCATGCGCGCACTACGCCAAGGGCGCTGCGCTGATGGCGAGCATGCAGGGCAACTTCGTCGAAGGGGAACAAAACGCCGGCTTCACATTGGGCTCCAGGCTAAAGCACATCGCCTCAAACCCCTCAAAGTACTACTTCAACTTCCACTCTATTGCCAGTTGGACACACTGGCAGCTTGAGGGCAAGGGTCCAGTGGGCATGTGCCGCGGCGTCATGCAGCTCAGCAGCCGCAGGTTAACGGTTGCAGACGCTGAGCACACGTTGCCAGGCGGCCTTTTGGTGTAAGCAGTGCGAGCGAGCTGTGGATCCCTATGCGATCTGCTGGTGGATTTTGTGATTTTGCCTTTTGTCCCTGTAGCGCGTGCCCCGTTCTTAGCTGTACAGCCGGCCCCGTCTATCGATCGGCTGGTAAAGACTTGATCGTTCGGGAAGGGCCGAGGGCACTGCGGAGATGCGCATTGCGCCAAGATCTCTCGAAGAAATGAAGCTGCCAGGCTTCGAGAAAGTCGCGGTGCCAAGAGCTGGTTGTGAAGGATCGTGTTCTCTCAATCTCTGGAGTACACTTTCGCACCCCAAGGTATTTCGTGCAGGTGATGAACCTTTCCGCTCACAGCCTTGATAGTTGAAGCGCGCAGTACAAGGATCTAACAGGGCGGCCTCCCCAAATTAGGGGTCTTTTTGGGCGGTCCCTGCATCTTAGTTTATCGCAGGGGTATAATATAAGAGAGACTCTCGAACATTTCTATATCTGTAGCAGGAGCATCGGCGGGTTACCCAAAATGCTCTTGCATAATTCCTGAAGGAGGGTAAAAACAATCTGCCCAGAGTCGCTTTGTATCCCTGTAGAGCCCCTGGCTACCCCCACCGATGACCATCCGTGAGAGCAGACGCCTCATTAGCACATCCCATGGACTATTCCAATATTTTAGGTAGTCCCCGCCCAGTCGCAGTCGGTAATCGGGGTCAGGGCTTTCTAATTTCATAGTGGAGCTATTATCCAACTGTTTTTGAGGGGGGCAGTATGCAGCCAATCTTCCTGAAAGTGTTGGGTGCTCACACTTACTCCTGTCGTTTGTACTTAGTTCGCTGTTCCTGTGTCCAAGTTCCCCTACAATTCGGTACATGTCCCCACGCCATCATCGCTGAATATTACTGGGGTCTCTGGGTACTCCCTTCGCCAACGATTGACGACACAACGCCAGGTTCGCCGACACAAAGCAGACCCAACAGTGCAGCGCAAACTTTGGTCGCGCTGGCGCAGTGTAAGTTTCAGGGTTATGGAGTGAAGGAGTAGATAAAGGGTTTAGGTTTTTTTTCGGACAATGGGAGTACAAGAGCTATGGTTTAAACTCCTAGTATCCACCTTAATCACTCTTATATAATACCCCCCCATAGAGCTCCCCTTAAGGAGTTTATACTACAGCTCATATGACTGTGTGGGACCCACGAGTATGGGCATTTTGTTGGTGTACAGATCGTGCAGAGACATGGTGGCAAAGTGTTGACCGAGGGTTGCAAGGTTTACGGTTTAGGGTTCTGGGTTCAGGGTTTTAGGGTTTAGGGTTTAGGGTTCTGGGTTTGGGGTTTGGGGTTTGGGGTTTAGGGTTTAGGGTTCTGGGTTTGGGGTTTAGGGTTTCGGGTTCTAGGGTATCTCTATTTCGAGGAACCCCCATACAGTTGGGCGTTTGAAGGTTATGGGGCATGGAAGGGGTGTGACAGAAATTTCCGCAGGATTCACTACTGAGCGCTGTTTGACTCGTAGTTGTAGGCGTGTGCTTCGACAGACTTTTTCCAGGTTCTGCTTTGAGGCGCCTCACATGCACTCTTAATCCCCAGTTGAAGTCTAAACCTTGAAGACCCTATGTCTGAAATCCGAAGCTCACACTTCCATTCACTCAGGGACTGAAAAGGGATTAGCTTTTGTCTTGTAGGGATCAGGGCTTACCTTCCAAACTAACCTGAACCCCTAAACCTACATTGGGTTTAGGGTTTAGGGTAAGGACACAGCAGTCCGTAGAGAGTTTAAGGATTAAGGGCTTAGTATTGCCTTTAGACCTCACGCCCCCAGAATTTTGGTATATGGTAGTTTCCATGAATAGGGGAACCTTATTATAGACCCCGAAAAACCAATCCCGAATTACTATGGGATAGCCAAAAAGCTACCCCTAATTTCGGAACCTTAAGCCCTAAACCCTGAACCCTATATAAGCCCTACATACCCCTATATAACCCCTGTAAAGGTGCCCCTAAGTTTAGGAACCCCCTCCCATACATTGGGGGCCTGGCGAAACCCTAAACCTAAACCCTAAACCCACTGCACTGGTCAGGACCCATGGAGTGCCGTACCCAACTTGAGCCCAAGGTTATATGGGAGTTTTCCCAGATTTAGGGGTACCTTTAGAGGGAATGTAGCGGTTATGTACGGAGTATAGAGGGCTTATATAGGGAGTTATGGTGGGTTTAGGGTTTAGGGGTCAGGGTTTTAAGGGTTTCCCAAAATTAGGGGTACTATTATGGGGGTCCCAAGAATAAGGATGATAGTATTTTGGTATCTATATTGGGGTCCCGCTATTTTGGGAAACTACCATATATAGGTATTACAGAAGTTTAAAACAACTGTATATAAGTGGAAAAGAAAATGGACACTACTATATATCATGCATGGTTTGAGGTCTAGGGGTTATATGAGCTATAGTCTAAACTCCTTAACAGGGATTATATAGGGGATTATAGATTAGAGGGTTTATGAAGGGGATGCTAGGAGTTCAGACTATAGCTCACTTGCAGTTTCATGCGCAGTTAATTTAGGGTCCAGGTGTTATGTCTTCTCAGTTGGGTAACCCAGTGTTGCTGTTGCAGACACGTAGCTGCCGTGATTGCGCCACGAAAGCTTGCAGTTTCAAGACCTGGAGATTTCGAATGCTCAAGTTGTGCTAAAGCGATTTCCCCCAGTCTTTGGTGCTCCTGGCCCCATGTTGCGATTGCTTGCCGTCGTGTGCGTTGCTTCCACGTTATGGCTGCAGGGTTGCGATGATGCCAGCTCAGATGCCCCCATAGGCAGCGTTGATATCAGATCCCGTTTTTGGGGGGTAGCCTGTGATGGGAGCAGGGGCCGGAATACTGGGTCTCAGTATCTACGGATGGCACACTTGAAGCCGCGCATACTTACCAAGCTTGACTGCAGCATCGAGGGTACATGCATTCAGTTGTGTCTCAAAGCTGGAAGGCCAAACCACTGTTGCGCCGGGGGATTCGAACATGACGACCACGGTGACCACGCAAGCGGCAGCGGCGACAACCACCAGCACGACTACGACCACCACGACCACCACGACAGGTGACGCCTCGGGAGCCAGCGATGTAGACATCTCCAATATGACCCTCTACGCATCCAGCAATTTTGACAGCGACGCCACCGATGCTACAGAGGTTTTCCTCAAGAGTGCAGCTGGCTCGGATCTAAACAGAATCAAATTCAACCACGGCACGGGCAAGACCCTCATTGGCGAGTCGAGTGGTAACAAGTATCTCCAGGTGGGCAATGCTTTATATGGGGTCCTATAGCAACATAGCCCTTCTTTGTGGCTTAGTATGGTACCGTATCTTTTTTCAAAAGGAAAATGAATTTGCTGCTTCACCAAAAACGCTACTCAGGTGGTGAGGGATGCTAGCAACACCTATGTGAACATCGAAGTTGGCATTGGCTTCGATTCCGATGCACCGGACAGCCTTGGTGGCTCATGCTTCCAGGTGACGGAAATTGCCGTGAAAGGTAGCTGGCTTGGCCTTTAGGATGTCTAGATTGGGTTCGGGCCTCGCCCAGTAAAAAGTGGTATAGCAGGAGTTTATAGGGACACTAATGATCACCATCATCTCTTAACTTCATGTTTTAGCTTCTCGAAAGAGGCTATGTATAATAGCCACTGGGACCCCCACAGCTCTTTTGAATCCCCTTATATCTAGGGTCTCCCCACAAGCCATAATTTTTAGAAGCTCCTTAGGTTTTCAAGGCCTCAGTCAGGGAGATCCACAGGCGACCCCAAGTAGCAAAGAGCCTTTGAGAATCCCATTTCTCCGTATGATTTCCTTCTAAGGGTCACTCTTAGGAAGTCCTATGTGTGTTTGACAGCATGACAAGGTAAGTGCATGACCAGTGGAACGTGGCCCTCTTCCTGCTACGCGGAACTGGGGCTCCATTCTGCTGGCAACATCCGCCCGACGCTGGGTTCAGGTTTTAGAGTGTATGGTTTAAGGTTTTTGGCTCTCCGGAACCCTACATCCTACACCCTACACCCCTAAAAACCCAAAAGCCTTTTTGAAGTCCCGCACTCCTTCGGAAGCTAGCTTACTAAACAGGCAGCCCTTTTTGTTGCTTACAGGATGGGATCCGTGTCTACGTGGACAGACTTCACAGTCGCAGTCGGCAAGACCACGCTGCCCAGGGACCAGTGGACAGCTTCTTTACACAGAATTTTGATGTTGTGCTAGGCATACAAACAGCTGCACTTGGGGGAGTCTCCACGGTTGCTTTTGGGTGGTTATGAGATGGAGAGCGCGAATATTTTGGAAGCCCGCCACCTTGCAGAGCCGTCCAGAACTGAGGAGGTAGAGTGGGGACTTAGTAAGTAGATTTATCATGGGGATAGCTGGCGTTATTCATCAAAGTTATGTTTCCTTATTGGGCATCCCATGCACAATCGCCGTGCAATTAACTTGAATCCTAAAATGGACCGTCATTTTGACAACCTACCACATGGCGCATAAAAGTTAAAAATCTATTGACAGAGGCCCCCTGACCTAAACCGTAAACCCTAAACCTAAACCCTAAATCCAAAAAACTCTAAGCCCTAAACCCTAAACCCTAAGCATACAGCCGAGGCTTGGAAATTCTTCGTGGATGTGAAGCCCAATGCTGGTTGCGAGGATGTGGGTCTTTCCCAACATGAGGGTTTTCTAAGCTTCATAGAGGGGGTTATATAGGGAATTATAGAGGGTTCGGGGTTTAGGGTCTAAACTCCTCAAAGGGGGTTGTATATGGGAGTATGTAGGGGACGCATTATAGGGGTTAGTAGGAGTTTAGGCTATAGCTCTCATGGTCCCTGAATGGGAGGGTTTCCATCCATGGGGGTCACCAATCTATAATCTAATAAGTATTTAGGGGTCATATAGGGATTATGGAAGGGCTATATTGCAATAATAGAAAACATACCAAGATCACGTTGAGGAGGGGCCGCTAACTTTCGAAATCCCTCATAGGGTCCCTCACTAGTCCCTATATATCTTAGGGGTCCCTTGGGGCCTGCCATTTTGCAAGGACGTCTCCGTGTTCGTGGACGACTTTTACTTGTATGCCGGAGTCTCAGCCAAGTAGGACTTTCTCAAAGTTCTTGGCTAGGGATGGCTTAGGTGGACCCCCCCACCCTGTAATAATGGGTAACAAGAATAATATAATCACTCTTATAGTCACTATTACTGGGTGGGAGTCCACCTAAGGGATGGCCTGTGGCCACCGAAAGATTCTGGCCGTATCCAAGACACGATGATGCACTAATTTGGTGCTGAAGCACCAGGCACAGCGATAATCGACGACGTCGGCAGGAGCGGACTTGCATGCAGTTGCATGCCAATTTCTCGGGTGGTTTCTATGAATGTTCCTTGAGTTGCCGTATCAGAGGACGAAAGTTGGACGTTCCGACGGGGCGCAGTTTACCTCGTTGAGATGTTTTGAACCGTAGAACTGACGGAACAGCAATGACTTTGTTCTGCAAATCTTCTTATGGTTGACATATAGCGCACTGGTCCCCAAAGCCCTGTTCGCTGCTCGCATATCTTGGATTCTCAGGTGTAGATTACTTCATGTATTGCTCAGCATTTCAGGTCCCTGAGTGTAGCCTGGATGCTAAGCGGGTTGGTGCTGGGTAATGGTGGCAAACTACGCTATGGATTTGACTTTCGCTCCTGCCAATGCATATGAGACAAACAAGCCTTCATTGCGGTGGCTGGCTTTGAGCCCATCTAGTCCAACTCAGGATTAGGGTCATTCGTTTAGCAGTGGTAATCATGGCGTGCGCTTTTCATGATACCTTGTGGACCTATAGAATGCGTCATGGGGCACCTAGAATCTATCTATATACGCATATTGGTCAGGAATTGATGCCCTTCACTTGAAGGTCCTGACCATGGGCCCTTAGTTGGGCCCGTGGATTGTTACAGGGTATAGCGTATATCGGAGATATAAGCCGACTGCAGGGTCAAGGACCCATACCAGGGGCCCACAGGCGTGCAAGCCTTTTGACAATCGCGTGAGTGTCCTTCCCCGAAAATGACCCTCCCCCCCTACCCGGCCGAACGGGACATGCTTGATTTAGGGGGGTGTTGGTGTTTAGTATTCAGTGAAGGATGACCTCAGATGGACACAAACCTACTTGACCGTTAGTGTATTACAGTGCCAGAATTCCAGGACATTGGGTATGTTTGGTCATGTCATGCGTTGTCCCAGAACCATATGACAACGATTTTTGCGCAGCGGCGATCCTGACTTCCATTCGGCTATGGGGTGCAAAGTGCCACCAACGGATGCTGGCTTTGTACTCCAATCTATTCGACCTGTTCCTGTCGCAAGGAACGCGGAGCAGATAAAACTTGCTCTGAGTCATCTGCGGCAGTTGTAACGGCGTAAGCACTGGCTCTTTGATACTTTTTGCACTGGTTTGCACATGGCACAGCTCAGCGACGTCAAAAAATTGTGCGGAGGCATCCAGCTATCCTTGTGCTACATTCAATTTCTCGTCATTTTCACTCAACAAGTATGCTACCACAGCGCATTGCAGACATACAGGGTTTTTCAAGACTGGTTTTGATTGTTTTTGGGCCCTGTGTTGTGTCTTGTCAGTTTATCTCTAGGATCCCTAGGCGCCCCCCTGTTTTGCGAAACCTCCGTGCATCATGAAGTCCCAAAGGATAGGAGCTAACCAGGGGGACATGCAATCACCGCTGCCGAAAAAAAAAAGCGGAAGGGGGTCAGAGAGAGTGTTAATGCTCAGTGGATGTATTGCCCTGCAGTGACCTTGCTCTAAACCCAAAACCCCAAAACCTTTTCCTTTGTCCATCGTTTCCCTAAACCCTTTAACCTCCAAACCGTTAACTTTTTCCATTGTTTCCCAAAACCCTTAACCCCCAAACCTTTTACTTTTCGATTGTTCATTGGTCTTGCTGGGGGCAGCCCATCCCTCCCCATAATCAGGGTCGCAGTATTCTGGGTCTTTTTTTATTCCCCCATTTTGGGAAGCTAGCCTCCCCCAAAAATGCAGAATGCTTGCAAGGAGCCTGACATCCTAAACCCTAAACCCGCAACCTAAACCCTATAAACCCTAAACCCTAAACCCCCAACCCTAAACCACTTTCCGAAACTCAAATATCACTGCCCGCTTCTGTGTTTCTTTGCTTCTCCCGATGTTCATATTGTCTGAGGTATCTTTTGGGGCTTCAGGGTTTAGGTTGGGTCATTCCGACTCCCCCACCCAGTAACTGTCCTAAGGGGGCCTTCATTAAGGGGCTATTATAATTCCTATTACCCGTTGTGGCAACTCTTACTGTAAGGGGGAATAACCCAAGGTTTAGGGTTTAGCGTTTTCGTAATGGGCAAAGTTGGACTGTTCTGAGGCTGTGACATTAGGATGTTGGGGTTCCCAATTTATTCTCCCCTCTAAACCCGCCGCTCTAGACACTGAACCCTTTACCTCATATTGCTGCAAACCCTGAACCCTAAGCCCTTCAAACCCTCAACTCTACACCCTAAACCCCTAAACCCCTAAACCTTAAAGCCTGAACTTGCATTTTAACCCCTACACCCCTAAGGCTGAAGTAAGGGTCTAGGACTTAGGGTGTAGGGTTCAGGGGCTTAGTGTGTAGGGTTTAGGGGCTTAGGGTATAGCGGTTTAGTTTTTGGGTTAGGGTATAGGGGTTTAGTTGTAAGGGTTAAGGGGTTTAGGGTATAGTGTTTAGGGTATTACGGTTGCTGATGAAAACCTTGCTCGGAGTCCCGATCCCGGCATCGTCAGTTTACAATGTCCTCAATTCCGAAAGTCTGTGTGGGGTACGGGTGTGACACGTACCTGTACATACATACATATATACATTCGTACAGACATAGATACATAGATGCATACCTACCCACCTACCTACCCACCTACCTACCTACCTACGTACCTACCTACCTAGCTACCTACTAACTACCTACTAACTACCTACCTACCTACCTACATACATACATACATACATGTGTGTATCTATGTGTAATATTATAGGAGTCAGGGGTATACAAGGCGCCCCCCCCCTCCCCCTTCACCCTCCCCAACATACCAGGAGTGTGCTGGTCATCAAGTGGGATCCGGACAAGTGGCCCAAGGAGCTGAGATCCTTCACTACCCAGGCCGTTTGAGGGAGCTGGGGGTTTCCGAGTTAAGGGTATCCTTTGTAGTATAGATTAGGGCTTTGCGTGGTAAGTTATCCAAATTGTGATCCGCTTTGGGGATTCTACATATTAGGCTCCAACTTATGATGGGGATCGAGCCTTTAGATGCGCCCTCAACTCTTAGCATCCTTGCTACACGTCGAAGCTGACCGAGGGAGTTTTTTTCCTTTGCAGGGTTGGAGGTCACCCACATGTGGAGAAGAGCCCCTGCCTTTTCCAAACTACCATGGAACCCCACATAGCTCATATGAGCTATAGTCTAATCCTTAAAGGGGGAAATATAGAGGAGTATATAGGGGACTACTATAGGGAAGGGGGAGACTAGGAGTTTAGACTACAGCTCATGTAGCCCTTTGCAGAAGGCGCGTAGCAATTTCAGGGTTCTTTCCAATGTTGCATGTTCTAGTCAGGGCAGAGCAAGCCATTTAGGGTTTAGAGTTTAGGGACAATGACCTCTCAAACCTAAACCCGTAGTACTCAACCATGCAGGTGCACGAGGCCTTGAAGGCGCGCCGCGAGCGCGAGCTCGCCAAGGCAACGCCCGAGGTCCGCCTCATCGCCTCATCAGGTTGAAAGAGTCTTTAGGGTTTAGGGTTTTAGGTTTAGGGTTTTAGGTTTAGGGTTTAGGGTTTAGGGTTAAGCGGTTAGGATTTTAGGGGAAGGGATGTTTGTTGTAACTTTTGTGTTTTGCATTAGGGAATAGGCGCCACAAAATAGAGTTTAGGTTTCAGGCTTTAGGGTATAGGCTTCGGTGTAGGATGTAGGATTCAGGGTTTTGGGTTTTCGCATTGGGGTTTGGGGGTGCATCCTAAAGTCCTTGGAGCCCCACCAACCCGTATGATGAGGACCCTGCAACTATTAAAGATATCCTCCCTAAACCCTAAACCTTAAACCTTAAACCTTAAACTTTAAACCCTGAACCTTAAACCCTAAACCCTAAACCCCCATTCCTTGAGCCAAAGCTGAAGCCTCCATGTTTCAAGGGCTTAGGTTTTTCATGTTATTATTACTATTACTATTACTATTACTATTACTATTACTATGACTATTACTATTACTATGACTATTACTATTACGATTACTATTACTATTACTATTACTATTACTATTACTATTACTATTACTATTACTATTACTATTACGATTATTATTGCTATTACTATTCCAAGTAAGCCCAATGTTGGTCAGAAGGGATGCATTGTTGCAATTATTACGATCAAGTTTTTCTACAAAGGGTTCATGTATGGTTCAAGACCGGGACTTTGGCGCCCCAACTGGCGCAGCCATATGAAGGTTACCTTGGATGTTCAAAGCTCCTAAGTCCTAATGTAGAAGCTTACAGAAATACTAAAGTCTTTTCTCCTAATTTTTCTATAGCTGTAGTGTAGCATACCTGCAGGCCATTGAGGATTGGAAGGACCAGGACGAGTTGGAGTTCGAGGAGGCCCAGGAGGAGTATGACGAGGACCAGCATGGAGGGTGTGTTAGGGTTTAGGGTTGGATTGGGGTTGAGCGTTTGAGCTTGAAGCGCGAAACCTTAAGGTTTTTGCAGTTTGGGGTTCGGGATCTGGGATTTGGGGATCAGACAATAGATCGTTTCAGAGATCAGGATATTTGCAGGGCTGCTCTGTACAGGTCGAGTTGCAGAAACCCTAAACCCTAAACCCTAAACCGTGTCGGGACATAACACAGGGATGTTGGACCCAAAGGACCCCATGAACATCCCTAAGCCCGAAAGAACCTCCCGCTAAGGCTTAGAGCGGGAGCTTCTTAAAAGTCATCCCCCCCCCATAAATCCTTGAGTAGAGTGATAGACGCGCCAAAAAAGGCTTTTCGATCCCTGCATGTTCCTGGGATTCCAGAGGCCATTCATTCTGGAGAACAGGGCCTGAATAATTAGAATCAACTTAGGAGTCTGTAATTTTAAAACCCCAACAGTCGACCTCAATCACCGTTCTAGCAGTATGCTAGCAGTAAGCTTAATTAACATCTTCAACCCTAGTCCTGAAAGTATTCCTGGAGGTGGTTTGTGGGTGCTTCAAACAAGCCCTATCTATCTATCTATGTATTTATATATGTATACACATTCACACACCGGATAGTTTCCATTTCAGCTTCCATCAGAGTTTCCATTTCATTTTCCATGGGAGTAAGCCCGGGTCTCTGCAGGAGGCTGTGGCTTTCCTCCGACGGCTGCGATCGCAGCGGGCACGGTGACGTGGAAAGGGAAGTAAAAAGTCCGCCGGCTGGACCTTTCAGAGCTTGGGGTTTGCGGTGCAGGGGTTGGCGGTTGCAGTTTTAAGGTTTAGTGTTGAGAGTTTGGGGCTAGGTCTGGCGAAGTCTTCAGCAGTCGCTGAGGTTGGGATAGTCCACTTTTAGTGGTGCAGCCTAGGAACGCACAGTAATTTGAAGTGATGACTTGATCTCATGTATTGACTGCCGTGCGGAAGAGGCAGCAGCCATGATACAAGCTACAGGGATTGGTTCATGGACTTTGGAGCCCTTTGTCTTGCGGCATCCAGCTATCTAACTATAATATTCGCACAGCAAGGGGTGTAAGCAATTCTTTCGAGTGGTAACTACCCTATGAATCACACGAAGGCTGCCCTGCTATCCTTCCGGCTGTGATAGTCCTGGAACAAGATTTCAGAGAGCAAGGTAGGGCGGGAAGGTCCTAGAGTCCTCAAATAGACCAAGAATGAGTTAGCTAGCTATTGGACCCTACATCATGCAACTTGCCCCTTTCACATCCTAAGAGCCTATTAGCTGCATGGCGTTCAGTTTCTAAGCCTAAGAACCGCAGAGACATGAGGGCTGCTACACATAGGAATCTGTGGGAGATAAACGACCGCGAGCCTTGTAGAAAGCCCTAGCCCCTGGGATAGACACCCCGACGTGTTCCATTCCGTCATTTCGCCATGGCCGTCTTCGGCTGCTTGTTGAGGCCCCGCCCAGCCCTGCTAAGGTGGTATCAGTTTGGCGCTGGGTTGCTGTTTAGGAACCAAGTTACCATCATAATATGGGTGTAAAGTAAATAATAGGTTGCCTTATCATAGTACGTGAATTCAAGTTCCTCAACAGCAAGCCACATGCAGTCATACACCTAGGCAAGCCTTTGTCTTGACTGTACTTCCATGAGCTGACCCTCTTGTGAACGTTCAGCTCCTGCCCGCGCTGAACTTCAGG